GGCAAAAAATCACGAGGCCGAAAACCGTTCGGAGAAATAAAGATCGGCACTATTTCTCCGAACGTTCGGAGAAATAGTCACTTCGTTTTTCTAATATCTAAATTTGTACAGCAAAATTGTCTCAGAGCTATAGAGCTGTAGAATCTAGATCTAGATATAGATATTAGAATCTAGATCTAGATCATCATGAAGTGCCAAAAAGCCAAAGGGGCTCTCGTGGTCTAGAAACATGATGGTATTTGCCTCTCATTTGAAAGGCCCTGGGATTTAAACCTGACAGACACAAAAATGTTTTTATCTATTATTTTCTCTTGTCACCTCTTTCCTGTGCTCTAGAACTAGAGTCTAGAATCTAGATCTAGTCCTCTCTGTCATCCACTTTCATCTCCACTTTCTCCCTCTACACCCAGCCTAGCCTATGGTGGGCTTCTCTCTTTTTTACTCCTGACTCCTTCTCACTACTCCTGGCACCTTAAATTACTGCTGTCTTTGAGCTACACCCCTGATCGTAAAGTAGGTTAGATTGAACACCTAGCCTTCAGGGATTTATGAGTGGAAAATGTTGGTGTTCCTAAAATCAATAAGAGGGCTTTGGCCGCCAACTGGGCAAAATTCAAAGATAATTCATACCGAAACTGAAAATACTTTAGCCAGTATGAAAATATAATACTGAGTCTTGAAAATGAGAATGTGGCTGCCTAAAGGTACAAAGTGGGGAAAATGGTCACATACATAAAAATCAGTTGCACTGCAGGCTGAATAACCAATGGTCGACCATCTCTGGGATTTAGCGGGGGAATGCAAGGAAAGAAAAAGAATCCAGTGCCAGATCTGCGACATCTGTGATCATGGTTTGCCATTCTTTCCTTTGCTCGTATGCTCCCACAAAAGGCTATATTATCCTGATCCATCCTCATCACCCATCTGTTAATTTATCATCATCATTGCCTTTCTCACCCTGGATCTGGGTGTAGGCCACGAACAAACACTTTCCACCTTTCCCTATCCTGGCCTAGCCTCTTGATTTTATTCAATGTCTTCCCACTTTTCTGTACATAACTTTCTCTAATTCTTCTCCAGGTTCCACAGTCTTTCCCTTGATCTTTTACCCTGTGGATTTCAATCCAATACTTTCCTTGTTATGCAGCTGCATGACTTCCAGAGAGTATGTCCAATCTATTGCCACGGCCTTCTACCTACCTTTTCTCTGACTGGGCTTTGTCTTGTTTTCCTCGTTGGATCTGTTAGATATGTGATATTAATAATAAGATCATCTCTGCCTCAGGAACATCCTTTCTGTGCTGATCGCCTGCGGCTGCGTCTGATGATGGACCTTCTAAAGTCATTCTCTCATCCCGAGGAAGTGATGGCCTTGCTTCGATTCAAGTTTGGAGGCTGTGAAGTTGTGATGCCCAAATGTGATTTTGTAAGTTTATGAAGTTGTGATGTTTAAATGTTTCTTTGTAAGTATGTGATATTTAAATGCACTTACTAAAATATAAAACAATTGTTTATTGCCATTATTTTTAGTTCTGTCATTTAGATGTGGTAAAACTTAAGCAGTTTCTTTTACGAGAATGATTTTAAGAAATGAAATTTAAAGAAAAACGAGTACCTTTTGTTTTGTAATCAGGTGGGGGGTTTTTTTCCCCAAAGTTTCTTTGAGTATAAGCATGTGAGTGTTTAAGAAGTGATGTAGAGAGAGAAAGTTTTTTTTAAGGTTTTTTTTTTTTAATTGCTTGTTCAGATTATTGCTATAGAGGCCAAATGATAACCTCAAACTTAATGCCAGTTTGTCATCACACTTTGCCGTCTTCTCCTCTCCAGAACTCCATGTCACCATCTCTGAAAACCTGTTACGATTTGCTGAACAAAACAAGTCGCAGTTTTGCTGCTGTGATTCAGGCCTTGGATGGAGAACTCAGGTTAGTGAAAATCGATGATGGTGACTTCACCGTTTCTTGTTTTATCTATGGTGGAGACGGTAGGTCCTACTTCTTCAGTCTCAATGGTTGAGACAGATTCGAAGTTTGTGAAAAATGTCATTGTAATTATTGTTGGGGAGAAGGAGAAAGGTATCAGGCTGTTGAGAATTCTTGCTCCTTTTTTCCCATCAAACATCTAAAGTATCCTTATGTCTTATCTCTCCTCCTACTTTTTTATGTTTGTTATGCTCTTGTTATGCCTCTAATCTTCTGCACTTAAATAGCCTTAATGTGTTGCAAGTGTCGTAAAACTCTTACTGAAACTAAACTAAAGTAATTCACATAATTGAAACCTGTAAAATCTCTATATAACTTTTTCTCACCGTGGCTGTGTATCTCTCCCACCAGGAATGCGGTGTGCATTTTCTACCTGGTTCTCCGAGCTCTGGACACTGTGGAAGACGACATGACGATTCCGCTGGACCGCAAGGTGCCCATGCTCGATTCCTTCTACAAAAATCTGGAGGACCCGCACTGGAAGTACATGGAGAGCAACGACAAAGACAGGATCGTGCTGGAGCAGTTCCCCTGTGTGAGTTGACGGCAGGAAAATCTTCTCTCCATTTGTTGTCAGCCATCATGTAGCATCCCCCCGGGCAGTGCTACTGACTGAAGTGTCTTTGGGCCACTCCGGGGGGGGGGGGGGGGTATTAACATGTTTTTATGCACAGAAGAATTGTAAATGGGCAGATTTATCAACGCCATGCTCATACTGTGTCAGAACAACATAGTGGGAACTGCTGCTTTTTCTTTCCTCATCCTTACTATCGTAATTTTTCCTCTACTTCTTTTGTATGTTTGTCACTCTCTTGTGACCCGCTATATCCGGAATGCCTTGATAGTTGAAGCTAGAGAGGTGAGCAGAGTAAGCCTGATTCCCTGTATGGACTTCTCTGTTGGCATCCACCCCTTGGCGCTCATATGATCTTATGCAGTTGCGAGCACCGTAAAACCTCACTAAAACTAAAAAGCCATCATGTTTTTGAATACACGAGTGTCTTTTACTCCTGTCAGTCAAAATGACTTGCTTCGTGTCGTTCCTTTTCACACCCATCCCCCAGACCAACACAACATGACTCTTTCAATAGCCTTAATCAAATACACTTTTCTGTCCAGTCCGACTACATGATTATAATATTGATCAAGTTAAAAATAGACTTGATACTTCTTTTCTTTATGAGAACTTGACGCTCGGGAGGGTTAGAAGCCCACCTCCTAAATAATCTAAATTGTATCAATGGGGGTGTAAAAACACTTACACTGAAAAATGAAAAAACTTTTCAATGCACATATTACCTTATTAAGACTAAATATCTCCAAAAATGTTAAAATGCACAGATTTCCAAGGAGTTTCGAGAGTTGGCGGAGGTGTACAGGAAGCTCATCTCGGAGATCTGTCAGAAGATGGGACACGGCATGACAGTCTTTCTGGAGAGGAAGGTGGATACCATGGAGGAGTGGGATGAGGTAGGTGGGGAGTGCGTGCTGGTGTGGGTAGGTGGGGAGTGCATGCTTGTGTGGGTGTATGCTTGTGTCTGTGTGTGCTTGTTTGTTTGTGTTTGTATGTGTGGGACGAGGTAGGTGGGGAGTGCTTGTGTGGGTGTGCATGCTTGCATGCATATATGTGTGTGTGGTTGGGGGGGGTACCTTAGTTGGGTCGGATTCTTTTTATTTTGAAAAATTTGGCAGCTGAGCTATGAATCATTCACTGTTCTCTCACTTTGCCCCCAGTATTGCCACTACATTGAGCTATGAATGAATCATTCACTGTTCTCTCACTTTGCCCTCAGTACTGCCACTACATTGAGCTATGAATGAATCATTCACTGTTCTTTCACTTTGTCCCCAGTATTGCCACTACATTGAGCTATGAATGAATTATTTACTGTTCTTTCACTTTGCCTTCAGTATTGCTACTACGTCGCGGGCCTTGTGGGCATCGGTCTCGCGGGGCTGTTCTCTGCGTCGGGTCTGGAGGATCCCATTGTGGGCCAGGACAGCAAGCTGGCCAATCAGGTGGGCCTGTTCCTGCAGAAGACGAACATCATCCGAGACTACCTGGAGGACTGGAACGACCAGCGAATCTTCTGGCCCAAAGCTGTGAGTTTTGCTGGTGCAGGCTTGTGGTTGAACGAGGAGCGACTGAAATCACGGAGTGGGTTGTTGGCGGGTGCCCTGGTGTGGTTTGCTTCTTCTTTCCTGTCAAACATCTATCATCCTTATCTCTCCTCCTTCTCTTTTGTGTTTGTTACTCTCTTGTAACACCTCTAATCTTTGGCACTTATATGACCTTATTGACACCACATTCTTAATTATTGACCGGCAGTAAATGACATTTCTAAGAAAGTAAACACAGACAGATAGAGAAATTCATTCACACCAGTTAACTGCAATGAGATTACTGAATACTCAGACAAAGGGATACCCCCTGGGGCGATGCTAATGACTGACGTGTCTGTAGGCCATTCCCAAAGGGGGGACATTAACCTGTTCTTAAGCACAGTAGAATTGTAAATGGGCTGATTCATTGTCACGCTCATAACTGTGCCTGAACTGCAACAGGAAACTGCTGCTTTTTCTTTCCTAATCTTTACTATCGTCGTTTTTCCTCTACTTCTTTTGTATGTTTGTCATACTCTTGTGGCCCTCTATATCCGGAGTGCCTTGATAGTCGAAGCAGACTTTGTGCTGTTGAAGCTTGAGAGGTGAGCAGAGTAAACCTGATTCCTTGTAAAGACTTCTCTGTTGACATCCCCCCTTTGGCGCTCATATGACCTGATGCGGTTGCGAGCGCAGTAAAAACTACTAAAACTAACATTAAAAGAGAAAGGGAGAGAGAGAGAATATATATTCACAGAGCAGAGGTGTATTAGCACATGCATAATACTTACTTACTTACTTACTACCCATTACGCCATCTGGCGTTTAGGGCAGCAACAAAGGATCTCCAGCTCTGTCTGTTTTGGGCCATCTTGGTCAGCGTTCCCCTTGAATGATTCCAGGACTTAATTTCAGACTCTACTGTGGGCCTCCAGGTCACTTTGGGTCTGCCCCTTTTGTGACGTCCTTTGGGTGTCCAGTGGAGGGCAGTCTTCACAATAGAGTCTGGTTCTCTTCTCAGAACATGTCCAATCCAACATGCGTAATACTTACATGTATTTAATGTCCTTCCTTGTTGCGTGTATGGGTGAGTGCACCTGACCAGTGTAACATCCACTACCATTGTAAATGACTGAGACAAATTTCTCCCTGCGAAATGAATAAAGATTGTCACTGTCTTTAAAAAAAATCCCACGTGTGCATCATCTCGTTTACCAGTGTCGATGGTGTAGCAGTTAGGCACTTTGATGTCGGATGCAGGAGGCCGGGGTTCAATTCCTGGGTGAGGAGAGAGATTTATTGGAGTCTGCTGGGATATAGTATCGCTTTCAGCGTGGATTTGCCCTGACAGTCAGTGTCAGAAGCCCGCCTCCTAAATGATCTAATTTGTGTCGGTGGGATCATAAAGCCACTTCCATGCAGTTAGAATTTTTTATTTTATTTCCCAGAGTCTTGGTGAGAACGATCATTACAACATACTTATGCAATAGCAGACAAAAAGTTTCAATGAAGGGAGAAAAAAAAATAACATCATCTTGTCTTTCTCCCCCTCAGGCGTGGAGCAAGTACGCGGGTGACATCGGAGATTTTGCCCAGCCGGAGAATCGAGAGCGAGCCCTGGAGTGTCTCAACGACCTCATTACCAACGCCATGGAGCTTGTGCCGGCGTCCATGTTGTTCATGAGCCGTCTGCAGAACCAGACCATCTTCAACTTTGTGGCAATTCCGCAGGTGAGTGGCTGGTCTAGTGGTGAGGCTGCCAGACTCGCAATTATGAGCTTGCCGGTTCGGGGATTGGAGGCTTAGGTCTGACTTTGTGTCCTGTCAGGTTTTGAACTCAGGACCCATTGAATGAGAGACGAACACCGCACCTCTAGTTGACGAGAGCTCATATACTAATCAGATGATTAAAGCAAAATGAAAAATAAAAATTTGTTTGCATTGGGGGAAAAAATGGCAGCCAATTTGGATTTTTTTTTACAGTGTTAGATCTAGTTTTTTGCCTAAGGCTTTTTTTTGTTTTTGTAACCAAATGAGTTGAAACTTTGCAAGTAGATGCTACATATTGATAAAACCTCATCTAGATCTAGAGTCTATTTGTGATTGAATAATCTTCTTAATTTCTATCATACAAAAAAATATTTTTAAAATCCACCTTTTGCCCTAAGAATTGTTTTTGTAACTGCACATAGATCTACCCTTAACCCTACAATCTACCCTTAACCCTACAAGTTTGGATGGCTCAAAGTTTTGTTCTGCGGTAATGTGCTATAATTTGAGTCACTATTTTGGTTTTTTTATCCTGGTTTTTTTAAAATATAGCCAAGCACCTTATCAACGAATGAGCTCACTTCCTATTTACAATCTACTTTCTGAAAGGTTTATAGCATTTACCTGGTTGGTGTGCCTGTTCTCTAGAATTTTCCAACCTAACGTAAAAACCGTATGACTCCCCTGACACCACCAGCTATTTGTCAGCGACGTGTGGAGGTTGAAATGACGTATTTTATATTTCATTTTGTCACACAAAAACACGCACACGCACGCACACACACACACACACACACACACACACACACACACACACACACACACACACACACACACCTCCACTTCCCCCACGACTCACGGTTGTTGTTCCTCCAGGTCATGGCTATAGCGACCTTGGAGCGATGCTACAACAACCCAAAAGTGTTCACCGGCGTGGTCAAGATCCGCAAGGGAGAGGCGGTCCGAATGATGATGGGGGCCACGTCCTTTGACAAGGTCAAGGCCATTATGAGGCACTTTACGCTGGAGGTGAGACCTTGGCTTGTGGACATGACCTGTGGGTGGTTGGCGGGTGCTCGGGTGTGGTTTGCTCCTTCTTTCCTATCAAACATCTAGCATCCTTTTCTCTGCTCCTTGTTTCCTATCAAACATCTATCGTCCTCATCCCTCCTCCTCCTTACTTGTGTTGTTACTCTCTTCAGGGTGACTGCTAGGCCCCGGGAATCCAGGGGGCCCTGGGAATGCCCCAGGAATTGGAAAAAAATCGCAGAGACCCGGGAATGCCCTGGGAATTTCAGAAAATCTGTAAATTACCCCGGGAAAATATATATAAAACAAAATCTGATAGCATCCGTTCATTTTTGTCGGTCGCGATTGTGATATTCATTCAGTTTTTCCCGGTCTGACAGTATGTTTCACTCGAACAGGCGGCTATGGCGGCAAGGGGAAGTGTATGTGCGATACCGAGGCTCCATCGGGAAAAATCAAGATCTACTTTCGCTTTCGTTACTACCCAAAAATTTGTCGGTAATAGTCTGATAACGCAACATTTGTAACGTGCAGGTTGTGCATTACAAACACTGTGTCGCTATGAAAATAAAATCAATATTTGTCCTGTACTGTCTCTTATGTGAAAAAAAGAAAAGAAAGTTATGCAAGCGTCTTGTCGGGCTCGCCATCGTGACCGGTAAGTGAACCTTCACGGTCTCATCACGTTGTGAGTAGATTTTCTACTGGTGATTGTTGGGGTCACCAAAGTTCATTCAAAGTCTTAAGCGCTGTACAGGACTCCAGAATGGGAAGATTATTGATTTTTTTTTTTTAAGATACACTTGTGGGAGGGGGCGAGGATGAAGGCAACACCAGAGTACAAAAACTGAACGAGGAGAGCTCTGTGCAAAGCGTGTGTATTGCTATTTCTATTATTATCATTACTATTATTATCATTATTATTATTATTGATTATTATCATTACTATTATTATTTTTACTTCTATTAGTATTATTATCTTTACTATTACAACAGTTATTATTGTTATTATTATTTGTTCCCAGATCATGGAGAGAATCCCAGAAAAGGACCCGAATGCGTCCAAAATGCAGGCGGTGTGCCAGAAAGCGCTGCAGGTGACGGAGACGAGCCAGGAATATTCCACCTCCAGCATCTACCCGCCCCTGTACGTGAGCATGGGGCTGATGGTCTCGGCCATAGCGTATACGTACTGGTCGCAGGTGTCTCAGTGGTACAGCGACCTTTTGTGAGGTGTGTGTGTGTCTGTGTGTGTCTGGGCCATAGCGTATACGTACTGGTCGCAGGTATCTCAGTGGTACAGCGACCTCTTGTGAGCTGTGTGTGTGTGTGTTGGCCATAGCGTATACGTACTGGTCGCAGGTATCTCAGTGGTACAGCGACCTCTTGTGAGGTGTGTGTGTGTGTGTGTGTGTATGTATGTGTGTATCTGTTGTGTGTGTGTGTCTTGCAGTGGTGCAGTGATCTCTTGTGAGGTGTGTGTATAAGCTTGTGTGTGTATGAGCTTGTGTGCGTGTTTGTGTGTGTACATATGTGTATCAGTGGTGTGTTTGTGTGTGTGTAAAGGGACATTGTTGTATATGCTTCCCAACTTGACAAGTCTTTGTTTTGTTCTCAGCTGAGAAGCCTGCAACACTTCCCATTTTAACTTTTGATCCAGTGTTATATATATCATGATGCCTCCCAGTATAATGACACTGTGATATTGGGACAAAGAAAAAGATTGTATGATTCCGAATATCGATCAGATAAAATGTCGATACTTTTTTGTCTCAAGCGTTTTCTCAGAGTCCGAAATGTTGTGAAGAATAAATCACAGAAGTGTGTGGGCCAGGAGGGGATTCACTTGGGGCCAGCCAGATTTTCTTTTATGGATGGGGCAAAAGCTACCATTTTGGCACAATTGGCCAAATTTGATTGATTTCGACTGTGACTTTCAAAATCAAATGCATAAGTTTGGGGTTTTTTCAAGGTCGAGAGTCGGAACTCAGGTTCTAGAACAATCTGTTATCTATTTGGTTGCTTATTCAAGGTTATGTAATAATCCGTTAGCCTTTTTTTCTTCTTTTTTTTTTTTGCTTAATGGAGCGAATGGTTCAATCCTTTAACCCCCCTGTGTTTTTGTTTTTTGAGGCCATAATATAACCCCATAACCCATCATTTGTTTTTTTGAGGCTATGATATAACCCCATAACCCAGCATTTGTTTTTTTGAGGCTATAGAATAGTCGAATCTGTAAACCCTTCACATGCTTATTTGAGGGTATAATCAATTTTCTGTTTTCTTTGTATGTCAATTTTATTTCTGTTTCGGTTGTTACACCTCCTTCTTTCATATATCAAACATCTATCATTCTAATCTTCGGCACTTCCATAACCTATTGATGTCGCAAGTACCGTAAAAGTCTCACTCTAACTGTACAATCTCCAGGTGTTGCAGCTGTAGGACATGTCAGTGTTGATGGGTGTGTATACTGTTGTATTAGGAGGGGAGGGTCTGCACACCCGCCAAATACTCCGATAAAATTAGAGGCCTCTGATTATGTTTTTTTTTATTTCCCCCCATCGAAGAACCTTTATCAGATTTACATCAAGTTCCTTTTTTTTTGTTGCTTTTACTTGAATTCCATTTTTTTTCTGGGCCCGTATGCACCTTATAAATGACGTGAAGCTACATATTTTTATTAGTGTTTATTTGTGTGTATCAGCAATACGCTTTTATTTGCCACAGTTTGTTTTTAATGTAATCTTAAATATACCGGGCTGCTTGTCCTGGATCGATAACTACAACCGGGCTGCTTGGTCTGGAGTCTCAGATTTTTTTCCCCAATTTCTGATTTTTAAGGGAGGATTTGGAAGAAAATTCCAGTTGTTGGTCATGGAGGGGTTGGTGGGTCTGAGTCTGTGTTTGCTGTGCTCTTGCACTAGAGGGGGGGGGGGGCTATGCTCTCTCACTAGGGGGTGGGGGGGACGGGGGCTGTGCTCTTGTACTTGGGACTGCCACTTTTCCTGAATCTCCCGCTCTATTCTTTCCCAAGTACATTGTCCTGATGGGTGCTATTTTGTTGCTTGCAAACTCAAACTCCTTCCAAAACTAAAACTAAGCACAGATGTCTGTGGTGTAGCGGGTAGTCACTTCGCTGTCGTGCACAGGAGACCCGAGACCAATTCCCGGGTGGGGAGAACTTTTTTATCAAGTATTTCGCGGTCTTTCGGGTGGGATGTTGTATCCCTATCAGCTGGGGTTGGCCCTGACAGGCAGGGTTGGAAGCTGACCTCTTAAATGATGTAAGTTGTGTTGATGGGGACGTGAAGCACCTTTGTGTTTGTAAAAACGAAGCTCTCCTCCATTTGTTCACTCATGCTTCTTGGATGTGGGTATTGTGAACACTCTGTGAGCTCCAGTGTGGTCTGTGTGGCTACTTCTCTCCCCTGTATCTGTTTGCCTGCCCTTTTCCTGCGGGTAGTTTACCGTGTCGCTGGTAGGTCCTACTTCTTTTCTCTCCCTCTCAGTCCCTCTCCCCACCCTCGCTCAAAATGACTGGTATTGTGTCGATGTGCTTCTGTTTCCTTGTCACTTATTGCCGATCAACGATATTTACCGCCCAGTTTCTTTGGATTTTCCCCAAAATGCCTTCGCCTTTGATGGCAAGGGTTTTTACTATATGAGCCTTGTGATGGCCAAGTGTTAAAAAAGTAAAAAGACTTTTTTCCCTGCCAAAAACTCTTTTATGCACACTTCGTTGTAAATCACAATTCAAAAACCACAACTGTTCAAAATTGATTTCAGCCCGCCTGAAAGCACCATGTGTCAGTCCTACTTTTTATTCTTATCTACCGTGTTTACCGCACTGTTCTGCTGTTTCCGTCTGTCTTACGTCTCTTTCCCCCGCACTAAATGACCGTTTTGGTGTCGACGTGCCTCTCATTCTAATTAACTTGCCGTTAAACTCCAACAAGACATTTATTTGCACAATCTTACTCTTTTGGCAACACAAAAATCTTTGACGGTTCACGGTAGAACACAAGAATGGACTTGTCACCCTGACCAGGCTTTACTGTCAACTTTCTACTCAGTTGTGTTGTTGTAGAGAGATGTACGTCGTTATTTCTTTGCCCACACATTTCTATTTCTATTGTGATCATTTTCTCTTCTTTAATTTTTATTCTCTCTTTAAGTGTATTCTTGTTCTGATCAAGTTTACTTGACAAACACATTTACATGTAGCCTACACTGTTGTTATTTTTAGAACTTAAGTTTTACCGGTATTCATAAACTTATTATTTGTCAGCAGTTTATGTTGCTAGTCGTTTTATTGGGGTTTTTTCTTCTGGATTTGTAATAATAGTGCCATAATATTTTCTCATCTTTTTTCTGCTTTTCAAACTTAATTTCTGTTTTTGTAATGTGAGTGAGTGCACAAGCTGTTATATTGATGGTTTTCCCAGTGATTTGTCGAAGGAGGATTTTGTCATTTAAAATCATTTCCTGTGCAGCTTGTTTTTTTTCCTTTTATGACCTGTGTATTTTCTGGATTGATTTTGTTTGTACTGTGCAATTTCATCCTTTCACTTGATTGTTGTTGTTATTGTTGTTGTTGCTGTTGTTGTTGTTGCTGTTGTTATTGTTATTGTTGTTGCTGTTGTTGAAGGATAGCGAGCACCCTGCTAGATGTTAGGCTGGTTGTGATGAAGGCGGGGGGGCCTGGTCCTGTGCGGGTGGTTGGAAGGTGTCACTGGTATGTCCTACATCTTCTCTTTTCTTCTGTCTGTCTGTCTGTCTGTCTGTCTGTCTGCCTGTCTGTCTGTCTGTCTGCCTGTCTGTCTGTCATTTTCCCGTCACTGAACAAGCGTTATTGTGTCAATGATGTTCTTCTGTTTGCTCAAAATGGAGACATAAACGAAGTTGTTTTCTGTGCGAAGGTGGGCACTGGTGTAATCTGGTGGTATGTCGTTGGTGTAATCTGGTGGTATGTCGTTGGTGTAATCTGGTGGTATGTCGTTGGTGTAATCTGGTGGTATGTCGTTGGTGTAATCTGGTGGTATGTCGTTGGTGTCTCAAGCAATCCACTTAGGTTTGGTACTTTTGACACCAGAGACCAAACAAAATTGTTTTTGGTTGTGTTGTTCCGATAGAAAATCATGAAGAAAAGCTAGAAAATTGTCAGCCTTGACCATAACATTAAACTGTATTTTGGTGATGCTGAAAGGTGCATCTTTGGTGCGGTAGGGTGTAAGAAAGAAAAATTATCAAAAAGACGTGGCAGAATGTGGCTCCCCTTGAGAGAAAGTTCTATGGCAGTCTCTCAGAGTTGAAGCGAACTGCACAGTTTGTGCGCGACATCGGACTGACTGTCTAGCTGCTGTCATCGAGAACGAGGAAGAAGAAGGACTTAGATGGATTGTTTGCAGGCGCGACGATATTTTTGTGTTTTCTGATGTTTGTGAGATGTTGGAACAGTATGAGCTGTCTGAGGACTTCTGTCTTTTTGTACGTCACACGATGGAGTTCAATTAAACCAAACGTAATTCATCCAGAAACTGCAGTGAACTGAAACAAAACAAAATCACAAAAATTTTTGTCTTGTATTTGAGAACTTCTCTAGTAACAGGAAATCCGGAGCAAAGCGAAGAAAATCTGGTGGCCCCACAGATTTCAGTTTACGTTTAAGCGGACTCCACTGTATATACATATTTGTTGTGTTATATATTTATATGTATTTTTTTGTAATGCTAAAGATTGTACAGCATGAGAAATATCGAAGTTCAAAGTGTGACCTTGCATAAATTATGACCTTCTATGAGCAAGACTATTTCCTTGGTAGTTGAGCTGATATATGCCTTTTTTTTTTGGGGGGGGGGGGGGGGGTAACAGTGTTACATAATGTTTAAAGAAGATTTTTTTTTGGGGGGGGGAGGTACTTATGAATTTAGTACACAGCATACTTTGGAGTACTTTGAAGTATCTTGCTGAAATATTTTTCAACAGGCGAGGTTTCTGTGATGTTAGTAGATGAAATGAAAGCGTGAGTTCCTTGTATAGGAAATGTAGGCATCCTCTCTCTCCGAGTCTGGTTTTAAGTTTGTAATACGGTAATGCCTTTTTAGGATTCAGTCAATTTTACTTATACCAGCGCAAGAAAGTCACCAGATCTTCTCCTGTATTTCTTCTTACGTTTGCCACATGTTTGTTTAATGGAATGTTTTATTGGAAGAGTTTTTCCTTTGTGTTAATCAATCATCAATCTCAGCGAAGTTGGTGTGTGTGTGCGTGTGTGCGTGCGTGCGTGCGTGCGTGTGTGGGTGGATGGGCGGTTGGTGGGTGCTCTGATGTGGTGATGTGGTTTGCTCCTTCTTTCCTGCCAAACAGCTGCTGTCCTGATCTCTTCTCCTTTTTTTTGTGTTTGTTGTTTCTCTTTCACACCTCTCATCTTCGGCTCTTAATCGATCTATTTGTGTTGCAAGTGCCGTAAAACTTTCACTAAAACTAAAAAACTATCATGTTCTAGTCTTTCACTGCATAAATCAATGTGCGTTGTGTGTAAACGAAAAATTGTGCGTGATAAGATTCCGGCAAACGACCTTTGCAAACATTGTTTTTCTTAATAGTTAAAGACAACATGATGTAGTTTGTTCAGAAATGGAAAGAAATGTTTTGTTTTGAAATTTGATTGCTTTTGTTCATGCGTGTGTGCTTAGAAGTGATGGAAATCGGAGTTACCTTTCATTGCTAGATTTTTTTTGCTTTGGTTTTTTTTTTCTCCCAGTTTTCATCATGATGATTGTTAATATATGGCGAATATTTTGACTTGAGATTTACCTTGTTTTTGTGGGGAAATTTTATGCAGAATTTATAGAAGAGTTTTTGTTTGAGTGTATAATGTACATGGGCAATGTAGTGTGACTTTTGAAGACTGAAGAATGTAATGCCATTTTGTCTTATTGCAATGATGGTTCTGTCTGTCTGTCGATGGTTTTGTCTGTCTGTCAGTTGAAAGTTCTGTCTGTAAAGTGCGTAGAGCATGCTGTAAAGCATGGATATGCGCTGTATAAATGAAATGCAGTTAGTATTATTATTGGTATTATTATTAAGAGGCAGGTGATAATGTGTGTACATTGAGTATCCAGTTGTTAAATTGTTGTGTGTGTATGCGTGCGTTACAAGTTGTTGTAGATTTTGTTTCTTTTGGACCCGTGCCATTAATGACAGCTGATGTGCTACTGGTGGGATTCTCTATGACAGTGTCGGTCTGTTGTGTGTGCAGTAGTGTGTTTGTTGTTGGTGCGGTCTGTTATGTGTGCAGTAGTGTGTACGTCGTCGGTGCCACAAGCTATCCACCGAAGTCTGTCTGGGTACTTTTTATGTGAGGTATTTTTAAAAATTGTTTTTGTTGTGTTGTTCCTATCAAGAATCTCGAAAAGCAAGAAAATTGTAAGTCTTGTCCATAGCATGATAGCATTTAGCTGTATGTTGGGGATGTGTGAGAGGCATGTCTTTGGTTGAGCTTTGGGCAGGTACGTTGAAGATCTCGCAACATATGTTACTCATTTTATTAATATGTCGCTCACCACTGAAATCGTACCTGATCTTTTCAACAAACAAGCCATTGTTTAAACCTTTACTTAAAAAACAAGGCCTTGATGAAAACGACATGAGAAATTTTAGGCCAGTTTCCAATCTTAACTTTTTATCAAAAATCCTGGAGAAAATAGTTTTGAGTCAAGATCAACAACTTTTAAAGGTGTAAAAATAGAAAATTCTCCAGATTTTGACATAAGTGTATTGCTTGCGACAACGACGATATGAGTCTGTGTACTTGTCTGTCTGTCCCGTGTACTTGTCTGTCTGTCCCGTGTACTTGTCTGTCTGTCCTGTCTACTTGTCTGTCTGTCGCATGTACTTGTCTGTCTGTCCCGTGTACTTGTCTGTCTGTCCTGTTTACTTGTCTGTCTGTCCCGTGTACTTGTCTGTCTGTCCCGTGTACTTGTCTGTCTGTCCCGTGTACTTGTCTGTCTGTCCCGTGTACTTGTCTGTCTGTCCCGTCTTTGGGACTTTACAAGAGAGGAAAAGAGAGGCAGGCTTCTTTCTTCTGTATGTTGAAATGTGGAAGAGGATAAGAAAGTTGTTTTTCATCTCCATGTTGCAAATTGGAAGAATGGGAGAGAAAGACAGAGAAGAAAGAACGAAGAAAGAGCAGTCTGTGCGAGATGAAAGTTTCTGTGTGCGTGCGTGTGTGTGTGTGTTTGCATGCATGTCCTTTCCCTGCCATGTTGTTGCCATGATGAAGAACTATAAGTATAAGCAGACGACACAGCTGACGCCTACAGACAGTTGAGCAGACGTGAAATTGGAAATAAACATCACAAGTCAAATGCTGAGAGCTGCAGTTCTTTGCTCTTTTTTTCTGGGGGGGGTGGGGGGGTTTGTTTGGTTTTTTGGAAAATGTTTTATGTCGCTCAGTGGGTGGTTGGCGGGTGCTCTGGTGTGGTTTGCTTCTTCTTTCCTATCAAACATCTATCGTCCTTATCTCCCCTTCTTCTTTTTTATGTTTGTTACTCTCTTGTAACACTAACACCTCTAATCTTCTGGCGCTCATATGACCTTATGCAGTTGCGAGCGCCGTAAAACCTCTACTAAAACTAAACTTATGTCGCTCTGTCTAAAGAAAGTGCTGGCTACTAAAGTGGTTTATTAACAAATTACACAAAGTATTGGTCAGCACCTGGATTTGATCTTGAATTCGAGACACATGATTTCAACCTTCTTTGCCAAGAGAATCAACTTCCTGGAATTATTTTTAGGATTGAACCACAGCTGAAGTTCAGAAGTTAGGATCGGGACATGATTGGACAATGGCCCCATGGTGATACCGACTAAAATCTAGCAATACTAACAATACTAACATACTTTCAACGTTGGCTTGTGTATAGACATCAGATCACATGGACTACGCATCAATCATAGTCATACGCCGTCGGCTAGACATTGCACACACTCTACTGCTCATGGGAGATGAAATGAAATATGAAATGATGTAATGAGAATAGATGAGATGAGGTTAGATAAGGTGAGGTGAGATAAGATGAGACAAGATGAGATAAGATGAGATAAGGGAATCAACTTGTAGAGTATACTTGACAAATAAGTTATCTCAACACAGAAATATCATATGTATATAGATCTATATATATATATATATATATATATATATATATATATATATATATATATATATAGCCTATATCATATATATATATATATATATATATATATATATATATAGCCTATATCATATATACCGTATATGTATAAAAAGACACAACAAATGGGAACCAATAAGAAAAGATACGTCCAAGTTAGAGAAGAAAATAAAAGTTTTAAAGTAAGGTCAAATAAAATAAACAAATTGAGATGAGATATTTTTGAGAAAAAAAGAACTAGATATTATATTTGTTTTTAAAAGGTAGGGGGGGGGGGGAGATGTTTACTTCT